GGGTAATGTTACAATCATGTATGCCCCTATTCATTTTCTCTCTTACTGTGTATTATGTCACGAGCCACATGATGCCACCACTAGACTTATCTCTGACTCATACCTTGTATTACATCACAACCACTGTTGCCATCACTAGATGATCTATTCTTGCTATCACTTACACATCCTTTATCTCTGACTCATATCCATTCTCACATCTGCCCTAAAGCACTTGTAGTTCACTATAAATAGTTCTCTTGTACGCTTTAGTTCTGCACTTTAATCCTACTAGGTTTTTACCTGAAACATCCTTCGCTTGAGACCTCCAATCTCTTGTCATCTGAACCATACTTTAAGATAGAAGCACTCCTTCTGTCTTAGCTTACACTGAACACTCAACTTATCATCTTGCATAGAATCTCAGCAGAGGTCATTGACTCTTATCAAGTCGTCTGTCATTAGAACTATCCTAGTTCATAACAGGTACACTATTCTCCTTCAACAAAGCAGTGAGACAGTCAGCACATACATTCATCATAGTCAAGTCAGGAGAATCCTTGACAATCCCTGCCTTATCAAGCATCACACCATCAAGATGCTTATTCTTGAACATGAAAGATGTGGAGACACACTGCATAATACATTTTCAGATGATGAAGGTGTCTGTAATGCAAAGAGCATCCAAAATAATTGGCGGGAATGGTGCTCCAGGGTCTGCTGAAATAACAACCTCCATGGATCCAGACTGCCTTTGAGAACAGACAGCACACACAGGAGGATCAGTCCACTTTGAGCCCTCATAATAATGATGCAAGCAATCTAGGACAACCTCTTTCGAGACAGGTGCTGGCCATTCATGCCAGCACACTCTAGCAAGGTCCCATGTTTCATTTGCCAACTTGATCTTCTGCTCACACTGTATTATTTTGCATTGGTCAGGCTGTGAAAGGACTCGATGACTGAGCCAGTCCACTACAGTAGGTCTGTATTCAAATGATAGGATCTGTAGAATATATTGCTCATCTGGCTGATTGCAAGGCTGAGATTGCAGTAGGTAACAGAGCAAGATATCACACACCACACTTGGACCAATATACTGCAAGAAATTCACTTGATCTTGAATGTGAATGGTGAGACCATTGCAAGTCTTCTGACATGACCAGCTGTTTATCGACAGATGTCCCTTTGTAGGTAGACCACATATACAATCCAAAAGCACTTTGACGGTTAACTTATGAAGCCTCTGAACCAAATCTGTAAGTGGAAGAGGAGACCAACTGATCATTGGCACACTAAGGGGTTTGAAGACACAAACTTGCAGTGGGGGCAGTTGACATAAAGCCACAAATACCTCTTTTCCATACATATCACCAAAGTATCTCACCAACTGAGGCACAAGTAGTTGGCTACCCTCTGGAACCATTGTGATAAAGGAAAGCAATGTTTGTAGTTGGTCTTCACTCAATTGCATCACTTGTTGTTGGGTAGCAATGAAATGAGATAGCACTGCGCAAACACAGTCCCTTTTTGATTTTCCTCACAAAACTGATAGACAAGAAACACACTCAACTAGGACATTGTCTAAGAGGGCCAACAATTTCTGCTCCTGAAGTTTATCATCATAGTAGAACCATTTTGGGTAGACACCTAGTCTCAAAGACAGACACTGCTCAGCAGAGAGAGCTTCACCAGAGGCAAGATTGCGCAAGATAATACAATGGCAGTAACCCATGCCAGCAAACTCACTTGGTGCCATTGACAACAATACTCAATGTTGGCTTATAGTTACACAAACACCATCATACAAAACACAACCACAAAATTCCAAACAGCAGTACACTGAACAAGACAAAGGATGAGATTCAAGACATGTTTTCAACCAAGTGCAAAAATTTTCAGATGTTTCAAAAATGGCAAGATAATATTGTGGATAATAGAGGGCATCATAATAATGAGGATAGTGCTTCACATAATGGGGCTCATCACAGGGAGGACACTGTCCCTCCTCAAGGACACAAGCCAAAAAGCAGGGCAACTTCATAAGAAAAACCCTGAAAATGCATGAGCCATACTGCAGTGAAACAAAATGGAAATATATGAACTCAGATGCCATCTGATCCATTCCTGTTCATCGTACAATGGAGTATTTGGGAGAACAATATGTAAAGGCCAGTGCCCCAAATATTTTCCCACTGACTAAGCCATTTTTGTTCCCATGGGTGCATTTGCAGAGAATTAGCCATTTGTGTCCAACAAAACCCTCTCTCACTGACATGAGAGTCTGTTAAGAACCATGTTGCTCAAGGGGGTCAAGAGACTGACTCAGAGGGGCTTGGCCTCAGCTTATATGCTGTGCCCCTTACCCAAGTATGTGCCCTTCATTTCATATAAGGTCCAATGATGGTCCAATGAAGTCTGGAGGACTTCTGGAGGCTGGCTACTCTGGTAGAGTGCTAGAGGACTTCTGGAGGAGCGCAGAAAACATCTGGAGGAGCATGGGAGAGTTCTGGAGGAATGCAGGAAGTGCTCAGGAGAGTTCCCACTGCAAGGTAATACTTCTACAGGAAACAGGATGGAAGGATAGGAGGTCCAAGGGTCTGAAGGTCCAGAGGACAGGAGGACAGGAGGACAGGAGGACAGGAGAATGGAGGACAGAAGGATAGGATGTCCAGAGGTATGAAGGACAGGAGGATAGGACATCTGAGGGTTAGGAGGACAGGACACCCAGAGGTCCAGAAGGAATAGGGGCTACATCAGACAGAGTCCAATGTAGAAACAAACAGAGGTAGACTACCCTCAGGTAGAGTCGGAGAGAACAGGGATTGGACCTAAGTCCAGAAAGAGGGTAAGTGCTGGAAAGGCAAAGTTCCAGCCTAGGGAATCAATCCCTAGGCCTGATGGATAGGACAGACTTAGGTGGACCAAAGTCCAAGAGAGGATTGGGCAAGTAGAACAGGATCTAAGATGATATTCAAACTGAGGAAACTACAGGAGTATCTACAGGGGTTATATACTGGAGACTATCTGAGGGGATCAGTAAGCAAAGGAGCAAGGCTATGTATGAGCATGTGGAAACACATTAGTAAGTAAGACGGAACATAACTAAATGAACTCGGAGATGAAGACTTGTACAAGGATCAATAAGCAAGATGGAAGAAGAGGTGACCAAAAGCCAGAAAGGCAGAGATGCCTAAATGAGGATAGGCGCAGGATATCAGATAGAGGGTGGGAATAGGTCCAGAGATCTGGGGATCCAGAAGACAAGGTGGATACAGGACTGGGATATGAGAAGGTGGATATAGTCTGGAATTCAAGATGAGGTGAAGTCCAGATGTCTTGCTGGATGGGGTGTGCATAGGGTGGATGGGACAGGGGGGTATGGATCAGGCTAGCAGTGGAGATCCAATGGTCTGGAGCTCAGGGGTAAATCCAGAGCAGAGTTGATCCTGCTGAAGTGTGGAGCACACAGCAGAAGGGGATCTGGGAATGAGTTGGATATGAAGTGGGGTCCAGACATAGGCTTGGAAGGCATGGGAATATGATGGAACATGGGTCCAGATTGTGGGATATGACAGAGTCAGGGATAAGTGCCTAATGATCAATCAAGTACTTGCACAACACACATCCATACTGCATACTGATAATAGCTGATGATCAAACAGTGCCTGTCAAGATCCTTATGTGTGTATTTACTTTCAAAAAGTAGTCCTACAAATATCAATTTTTATCTCAACAACAAAGCAAGTGTAGGTGACCACCAACTTCACCAAATCGCTTAGTTTTTTTGCTGGTCATCTGCATTCGATTTTTCTGATCGGTTTTGTCGCTTGGACCATGTCAATAGCTTGCTTCGTTGTTGAGATAAAAATCGATCCTTGTAGGACTACTTTCGAAAGTAAATGCACACTTTTTTTGAAAGTTACCACCAGCCTCTACCCTTATGCAAATTGCTGTAAAGAATGCATTATTCTTTTCATCATTGAGACAAAGAGCCGATCCTGTTCTGCAAATATGTACATAGCTAGGCAGAGAATATGCATTTTAATGATTTCGTCCGATTATTTATTCAACCAACTCAGTAATTCGACGAGCTCCCGGCGTTTTATCAAAGGGCACCCTCACTGACCACTGTAGCACCCAATTCTTGCCAGGCTTCGCTATTCGTAGCTCGCTGTACGCGACCAACTCAGAGCGATATACGATATCCTCTTCACGCCATCCCGTAGCATCCAAGATGAGCTCCTTAAACTCGCCAGCCGTGAACCGAGTACCTTTTCCTTCTTCGTGCTTGTACTTCGCACCATCTGGTCCATTGGCCAACCCGACTTGACGACCCCACATAAGTCCACCAGGTTTAGCTAGAAAGGCCATTGACCGTATGAATGCTAGTTGCCCCTCAGTCTGGAAGAGATGTAGGACATTTGCTGAGTGCACAAAATCGAACTTGCTTTCCAACCTGGCGTTGCGTTCACAGAATAGAGGATCAAGGGCATCGGTCTGCTTAAACTTGATGGAAGGTGTGTCCCCTTCGTTGTACATGAGACGCCCGATGTCAAAGAATCCTGAGTGTCATATTAATAAAGAATTTGTAAAAGACACGAAACTCACGGTTCTCGATATCGAGCCCCATGATGTCCTAGGGCATCTAAGTAAGCATCCGAGCACACGATTCGACAAGTGAGCCGCACCAGTACTGGGAAACCATCCACGACCAACTTCCTTAGATCAGTTCCCATACAACATCCAAGATCAACCAAAGTCATTCTGTATGGACGTGAGCGGCGGGTCTCCTGCACCTCCTGGTACTGGAAGTGATGATCAATTCTGGGCTCCGCAAAGATGCTTTCACGGATACAAGTATGTGGGGCAACCTGACACGAAGGTGAGTCTAGGCCAAAATACTTTTGAATGGTGCATTACCCTAATTCCCGTTCTCCGCGCATCACCTATTCTTTGAATGACAACAGCAGAGGACTCGTTGGAATTCTTCGAGAACTTCTTATGCAAACGCAGCGTGTCATCTAATCGTTTAAGGAATACCGAATCCGGTTCAAGGTCGACTTTATTGAATAAAATGCTGAAGAGCTGAGTATCGAACTGCTTGGGCGTGAGAGAGAAGCCTCCACCACCGAATGATGCTAGTCCTTTGTCTGGCTGCGCTTCAGAATTTGCTTAAAGAATGATAAGCGACGCTCACCATTGATAGATGTCTCCACGACGCAAGGCCAATTATCCCACCCACAGAACCGTTTGAGTGAGCCTTTTAGGTCGTTATACAACAAAATACCAACAGCACAGTTCAAGAAGAACGAATCGGGGTGCCGGGAGAAGTCCCTCGTCAAGAGCGCGCAGCATAACAGAGCAGCTGACAAAACGTTCCCCGGCAGACTCCATCTGCTCTTCCAAATTCCAGGCGGTGTACTCGAGAAGCGGCTTAAGAGTATATTCCAATTTCATGAAACATATGACTTTGTCCAGATCACCCAGCGGTGCGTCCAAGTCGACGCAAACTTTGCCCTCATCAATCCTCCACGAAACCGGAGCGCGTTCAGAAGTGGGGTCGGAGGATTTGGAAGTGATATCGTGATACATAACGGGGAAGAACCCGTCGAGGTAAAGCGGTTTCGCGAGATCTAAAAAAGGACTATGATGTCCGGCAGCTTCGTAATCTATGAAATGAATCGCTGGATCCTGTTTTTTCGGCGAAATCATCACGTTTCCTCCGTGACCATCTCCTAGTCCCAAACAGGCCCACAGTTTTGGTAAAATTTGACCATGAGGATCGAGAATCTCTTCTGCCTTCCTGAAGGACTCCTGAAGCGGGGGATACTCCACGCCATCGATTCTCCAAGGAAGAGCGATGAAATCATCAAACTGTACTCTGTTGTCTCTGCTGAACCCGGGGGTGGTTGGGTAGTAGTGTTTAGTGAACCTGACATCATTGTGAAGACGGTCGTAATAGAACTTGTGTATTGGAGAGTCTAGTCCCCCCGGAGCGTCGGCCAAGTCCTTGCCGACCGAGTACAGCAAGCCACATTCATACGCACGACGAAGCTCGATATCCACAAACCAGCCAAGGGCCTCTCGCGAAGACTTGAAAGAAAAATCTTCACAATTCCTCGTCATCGCATATTCAAGACGGAAGTCGTTCAAGGTTTTCCCAGGAAGTCTGGTCATAACAAGTGAATTGAGATCGGCATTGTATGCCAAGAGATTTTGAAGCATGCCAGGGGAGATACGAGTGCTTATTACAGGCAGCATCTTGCGCTCCCATTTTATGGAGGCCGCCGATGACACTTTGACAAAGGCATTCATCCATTCAGTACCGCCTTTTCTCCTTATATGCGTGAAGTATGATTGTGAATTCGAAGAGAAGAGGCTGGAGATCATCAGCTCCTCCTTTTTCTCGGAAGTAAACTCGAATTCTCCGGAACCTAAGTCCGGTGGGTTGGTGACAACGGGAATAAGGGGAGTGTTGTTATTCAATTGGATGAAAGTAGGAGGGGCATTGGATAGGATTCGGTTGTAGGGTCCTTGTATGTCATTATGTTCACCCAGAACCAACAATGCTCCCGATATCTGGATAGAGGTTTTGTCATCGACCTCGGAATCTGACTTTTGCGAGACACCTGCACCGAGACAAATTAACCGACGCATCTCATTCTCCAAATTTTTACGAAGAGTAGGATAATACGTCTCCGACTTATAGATAGATTTGATTGCTTCGTCTAGAGCGTCGGGATTAAGGAGAGGGTGTTGACCAAGCCACTTCACTAGAAGTCGACTACGTGGGGGATCGAGAAATTGGTGAGAGGAGGTGTGGAACAGCAGAACCGATGTGAGGAGCAAATCGCAGGTGACTCCCAAGACTGCATACTGGAGAGACTCTGTCGTTGTCGACGAGTCCTTCAACAGGAAGATATCTTGATCTTGTAAGATGGATAAACCCCCTGCTGCACGCCGAGGTTGATGAACCAGGGCCGTCCATCCCAATCTCGGATGGAAACGAGGACAGCAAGGCACGTTTCGGAACGAAGCAACCTTGATGAGATGTGGGGCAGGATCGTTTAACGCCTGGAGGATGTGATCCAGACTCCAGAGTTTGATAGTACGTTTAGAACCATCCGCGGTACGACCAGAGAAGCGTATAACATCCCAGGCGTCTTCTTCCACATCGTTATCAATGAGATCCTGTGGGTAATTAGCGGATACGAATGGAAGGCAGCAGGAAGTAATCACCGTCCAGGAATCTCCTGGGGCTTCTTCGTTCACTATATGAAGGAGGGAACAGAGACTTGCGCGAAGCTTGTCATTGACGACAAGTCTCTCGATGTGGCTTCTGGATTGAAGGATGCCTAGACCATCCCAGTCTCTATCGACCTCTTCAGGGAAGGATTGAACTTGAAGCAAATGTGCTCTGCTACCTCCGAGGAGAATAGCGAGAAAACCAAGGCTAGTTGGATCGATAGAAGAGTTTAGGTAAGGCATGTACGTCGTCTGATGGGGGAGCTTGTGAGGGGAGTGGGGGTTCGATCGTCAGGCGTGCTCAATTCTTAAGTGGTCAAGGTCAAGAGCCGCATCAGCCCACTTGTTTGAACAATTAAACGATGCCATGGGTTCGGTTCCCAGAAACGATTAGAACCGGTGTACAGTTACACTGATGCTGACTCGGGAGTCCATGGTAACCTGTTATCATTCGGACCTTTCTCGGTCCCTTCGAACGACTTCAAACCCTGAGTGAAAAAAGTCCGGAGAGTTGGATGTAACTTAGCTTGACGAGTTTGCGAAGCTAACATGTCGGAAACCCGACGAGAAGATCGAACCGACGAAGCTGAAGTTAAAAATGGGCGGAAAACCATGCGGGGGAGTGAGGATATGTCGAGACCGTTATATTCTGCTCAATGACGGCTACGACATTAAGCTGAAGCGATCACGTTGAACAGAGTTTGGGGTCTTTTCATCGTGAATGACGTGAGGGTGTCCAGACTTTTTGCATTCAGGGTTTGAAGTCGTTCGAAGGAACCGATAAAGGTCCGAATGATAACAGGTTACCAGAAACCAATTATTGTCTGACTAGGCCAGAGATTCAGACTTGCGTAAAAGATGTTGATGAATTTAATTAACGCTCGAGGCGTACTAGTCATCGGGCGGTTGGACATCGCGACTGTCAGAGATAAAGTAAGGATAAAGAGAGTGAGCTCGACTGGTAGTCAGCCGAGATGACGAAGCAAATGGCATTGAAACCGGAAACCTTGGCGTCGATCGATGGAATTACCGATCACATGATGCAAATATTGACGCATTGTTTGGAAAATCGGTCAATGAACCGTCTGCTTCGCTTTGTTAGTACATTGTTGCCGTAGCACTCACTGCGGACTTACTGCCACTAGGTACCTCTATTGCTCTCGACTGCCTCCAGCGGGCATCATTTCACATGCTCACTCCTGGCACTGATCGCGTCGAAGGCGCGCCTTTCGTCAGAATTAGTAGTTTATATAGATACAGCACAATGTACCTTAGATCCACTTCCCCCACCACGAGCTGCCTCGATGACCCTTGCAGTGATCGTTTTGTCATCATGGAATGTCAACAACCGAACTACTTCATCCATTGGACACCAGACAGCATCAAACTCCTCGTCGTCTTGTTCTGTCGTATTCGTCTGGCGTATGGCGCAAGAATCGCCTCGTGCCGCATACCAAAAGATGATCTTCAGCACACCCTGAGTCATCCTTTGCGTCACAGCGACGGGTTCCGTTGTCCCTCCAGGTATCGCAGATCGGACATTATCATTCCCATGGAGGGTAGCAAGGGTGGTCAACTGAAGGGGTAGTAGCTCAACGATGTATCCTGTTTCTTCGTACGTCTCGCGAACGGCTGTTACTTCAAGCTGTTCCCCCACATCTTTTCTCCCCTTTGGAAGGCAATATTCGCCTGTTTTTCTCAAGTAGATGACGAGGACTTTAGATTGATCGATATCGAGGGTAACTGTGCCACAACTGATGACAAAGGATTCGGAGAGATGAAGAGATCTATTCATTTTCTTTCAGAATCTGGAGTGGGGCCTAATAGGAGCTTATTGCTCTTGTGACGGTACAGGATCGTGGGCTCCAACTCCGGAACGTGGTTCAACTCAGGACAAGGGCGGAGTTATTGGACGTACTCCCGGGTTGCCTTCGACAATTCTATATTTGCAATTAGTATGGTGGAATGGCGTCCCTGCATTCCATGCTGCGGGATAGAATGGTTGACATACCAGGAAGCGTTCAAGTTTGTTACACCGCAAGGTAAGGATTTGTTAGAAGCAACAAACTGTACGATGCTTAGTCATCATATTTCCCATATAGTTATATGTCACGTGTTGGTAGTTTCCCTTCTCCTTTTGACTGTACTACGACAAACGGAATCCATTACCCTGTCACGTCTGTGCGAGTCCAGTGCCTAACTCAAACTCTGACAGGATGAGGTGGACCCGTCATCACTGCAGAGTCCACTATCTTCTTTCCATGTCACGGTCCCTCGCTCTGGCTCGCCCACCAGTCCACGTCGGCATAGCCCATACCTGATTGTCGCCTTGCTTTCGACAGCTCACTATGCTCGCCAACCAACCAGTCCCCGCCGGTGCTGTGCGTCCTGTTCATAAATGTTTCTCAGTCCTCACTCAATAAACCTTCAAAGGTCTGCATGCATGAATCAGGGCTCGAGGGTGAGCTCATGATCGCACAATTTTGGGTCGATAGTGTCCAGCCATTGCAGGGGCCAAACGCTAAGGAGCAACGGATCGCATTTGCAATGAGAGCTTCAAGTTACAGACGAGCATCATCACTGGATCATCTGTGATAACTAACTATGATAAAAACATAGAAACACGACATACAGCAGCAATCGCATCCATTCCGCCATGACCATGTTATTTCGCGCAGTGACGAAATTACTGACTCGGAGTTCTTTGCATCGTACGTGCAGGCCATGAACAGAGTGGCGACGGGGGTATCTACAAGCACAACGCAGAGGAGTAAGTCCGATTCGTATTGATATAGCTACCATGCCGAGTCACTAATGCATCACACTCAGATACGACATCCACAAGCACAACACAAAGGGGTAAGTTCACTGTTTGTCATATTGTCGATATCACGTTATATACCCCTCTAACCTTGTTGTAGCAGGCTTTTCGACTGTATGATCCTCACATCTGTTGTCATCCCTGGCTGCAACCACTCTCTGCATGGTGCTCGCATGATTCAGTGGCTCTCGGCCTGTTTAACGAGAAACGCATTTATGGTGGGGATATGACTTCAGGGGCAACCGCGATAGATGAGTTTGTAGAATGTCGTGTTTGAGTTGGCTTGCAGAGCGGAGGAAGAGGTTGAGATCGAGATAGGACATAGCGGCCAGCTCGGTGTGCTGCTGTATGATGACAAATATGGACTCGACATTCATGGTCCGTGCTCAGCGTGTGACACAGCAGCGGGCAGCAGCAGTGATGGTGGGATGTTCATGACAGGCGCTATCCAGTGCAGATGCAGACCTGAGACCAAGACCGGGTATTTCAGACTCATCCTCTGGCTTATAGTCCAGTTAGGATGTATCAAAGTAGCCGTGTTGTCTGAGATGCCGATACAGACCTCACACATCGAACTGCCCAATTCCTGGACCTTCTGGCTGCTAGGCTACCCACTATCTTTTGCACCGTGTCTCTTGCTGCCTACACTCTCACATCACATCTGACTACGCGTTGAGGTTTCTCACATGTCTTTGGCTACTTGCATGTTTCCCGTTTTGCGCCGTCATGTATTCTATTACTCAGATGGTACGCAACTTAGTGTTAGAACGCACTTCAATGACAATGGCCGCCCATTGCAAGACAAACTGGCATTCTCATTTAATACTCCTCGACTGATTTTCACATAGTATCTTGTGCAAATCACGGAGAAATAAGTACGAGATACAGCATCAGCTGCTGCTGTATACTAGGATGAGTGGTGAAGCTGTGGTGAGTCCCTGATATCTGTTGGGTAAGTACATACACGAGTCTTGTGCATCATGCTGTGCGTGCATAGTTGCCCAGTGTTATAAACTTGGTACCATCTTACCTGTATTCCCTCTTACCTAGTATCCTCTGACCTATCTGATCAAAATGCCCCCTCCACTGCAGGTCAAAGATTTTGTCAAGGATTTGGGCAAGGTCTTCGCAGTTCGTTTGATGCGCCCCAAAAGAACGGACCTAGACAACGCAGCTCGACAACCACCGATCATAACGGTGATGGCTCCATCCATGCACAAATCCCTAGCGCCTTTGCCTTTCCTTCACCAACTCTTTCTTTGAATTCATCGCCAGCACACTCTGCGAGCAGCAGAGAGCCAGGTCTCGAATCCTCCACCAATGTTCCATCCGCTAGACACTCGGGGGGCGTATCCCTTGCCCGCGAAGCTTCTGACATGGCTCAGCTAGCATTGCCCTTGGTGCAGGCTGTTACAGGTGCAATCCCACTTGTCGGTGCTCCGATGCAAGCGGCTATTGGTGGATTATTGACAGGCCTTCAAGCTATAGACGTGAGAGCTTGTATTATTGCGAGCACATTCTTGATTTCAAAGGTCGCTACAGAGACCGTAACCAGAATCAGGCGGACCTCAATAGCTTGATCTCACGACTCGATCGACTGAGCCGCGAATTGTGTAACGCCTCGCCTGCCTCGGATCCTGTTGAACAATTCCGAAGAGATTCCTTTGTTAGGTATTCACGCTATCGGTGTATGCTTGGATTCACCTGACTTCGAGTTGTACCCAGGATGCTACAGGACACCTCGGCCCAGTGACAACGTTGCGCGAACGTTGTCTTGCATCCACATCCGTCACACAAGCTATCGCTGGATGCTTTGTTAAAATCGATCGCTATCTGGCGGAGTATTTGGTTGTGTTCTATTCTCTAACGAATTTTTGCACCACACTCACTATTCTGTTGGTTAGTGGTCATCCCAATGCAAGTCAACGTGATATACACGAAGTGCTGGTAATTCTGCAGAGGGAACGAGAGGATCGTCAGAACTTGTTGATGACGATCGAAAGCCTGGTCACCCGCAGGCAGTGCTCTGTTGGAGGCTGTGTGACACTAATAGACGCAACAGGTCACCAACATTCGATATCGGTGAACTTCTGCACCTCATTTGAGGTACGTTTCGCCAGCGAAATCTATCTTAGGAAAGCATACTGATCAAATTATCTTTAGCAATTCAATGAGATGCTCAAAGTTCTATTCAAATGCAACTCGGTTGAAGCTCGAATTCAGAGACGATATATGGAGAGCGAACAGTACGATTTGTGCATTGACGAGGGCACGCAAGTAACTCAACTTACAAGCAATAAATGGTCAAGACTTGAAGCGGGCGCAAAGGTTGTTATGAGGATCATTATTCAACAGGGGACGACATCATTCTCTGGAGTTTCCTACAGATGCTCTTGCGGCGCGGTGAATCCCCTTAGCGTTAGGTCTATCATATATTCGCTTGAACGGCAGGCTAGTTCCTCAATTGATTGGTAAGTATGCTTCAAGTCTTTTGGGCCCTGGCTATGTCTGACAACTGGCAGTCGAGAGTGTGGACGACGGTTTCAGATTTCCGTGTATCATCCCGTGAACAGCGGAGTCCTAGTACTCGATCGTCTAGCACCGATTCTGATCACACAACTGACCCAGGAATGGACCTTATTCGCAACTTTCATATCCAGCAATCTGTATGTCATCATGAAACTGTAATCTTAAGCTGAATACTTAACAAACATTCTGCTCTTAGGAAGTGCGTGAGGGTGCCTTTTGAGCTGCTTACTTGACACTGATCACGGTGCCAGG